GACCGACATGAAAATCACGTTACAAAATAATTCTTTCTTTATTAATATGCGTATCATTTACATAACGATTTACGTACGATTTACACGCGTACAAATAATAGAGGTATATAAACTTTCATAAATCTTGAACTCTCTTGAACATACAAACTTTACGAAGAAAAAATGTCGGAAGTACAAGATGATTCACAGAAACCAAAAGATGAAAACCTAAAAGATGAAAACCTAAAAGATGAAAAACCAAAAGATGAAATAACAAAAGACGAAAAACCAAAAGATGAAAACTTAAAAGATGAAAATTATGATAAAATTTTAGAGCGAAGGATTGTTAGAAAATGTGATTTCTATATGCTGCGTATGTTACAACCTTTATAAATTTTTTTTCTTTTTTTGTTGAAATATTATGATTTTATTCACATATAAAAATTTCTCTTAATTAGCCGTATTGACCGTACTATACCTGTTAGGCATCATTGATCGTGCTAACATAGGAAATGCTGCTATAGCTGGATTTGATTACAAATACTTGAATACCTCTCCTGCTGCTTTTAATTTTGCTATAGCTGTGTATTTCATCGCTTATATGATATTCGAAATCCCTGCAAGCTTAATGACTAAAATATTAGGTTTTCCTATTTGGATACCAATTATAATGTTTTGTTGGGCCGCTGCCTCTATGAGTCAAGCTGCATGTACAAATGTTGTCCAATTAGGAATTGTTAGATTTTTATTAGGTTGTCATTATAATTCAATTTCATTCAATTATAATTCAATTATAATTCAATTATAATTAATGTTTATTTATTATTGTATTGTCATTTAAGTCTTATTAAAAACATTTATTAATTTCTTAAATTATTACAGGAATGGCTGAAGCTGGTTTTCCCCCATCAGTAATAGAATATGTTGGTTTATTTTATGCCAGGAAAGAATTAACTTTAAGGTATTCTATCTTCATGACTTTGATCTCCATCGCTGGTGCATTTAGTGGAATCGCTGTAAGTTTGAATTTCTATCTTATTTTATAACTCATTTAAATAACTCGTCATTTAAAAAGCTCTTTAAATATCACATATAATTTTATATTTATTTCATATTTATTAAATTTATATAGGCTTTCTTCATAGTCCAAATATCTGGAACTTCATTACATGGTTTTCAATGGTTATTTTTAATTGAAGGCATACCAACTATTATTACTGCTATAGTTATTGCCTTATACATGACTCGTGGTCCTGCTGATGCTCGTTTTCTCACTCCTGAGGAGCGTAAATTCGCTGTTGACCGTCTAAGACCTGAAGGTGGTCCTACTGATGTTGATCGTAGCACCGCAAAAGCTCAGATAAAACTCGCTTTTACTGACATTAAAGTTTACGTTTATTTAATAATGTTAATGCTTGCTTCGGTCCCTTTCAATTCCCTTAATTTTTTCCTTCCAACCTTAGTTAAACAACTTGGTTATACTAATGTACAAGCTCAATTAATGGTCGTACCTCCTCTTGCTATTGCTACTATCTGGATGACCATTAATTCTTGGGCTTCTGATAAATACCAAACGAGAACTTTGAACTTAATGGCTGCTTATTTATTGTCTATTACTGGCTTGATAGGATTGTTAGCAACTGATGCTACAAATCCTAATTTATATCATTTAAGATATTTTTTCACCGTTATTTTTACTTGTGGCGCGTACTCTGTGTTACCTGTAATTTTCAGCTGGTTTTCTTGTAATATTCGTTAGTATCAACCTTAATATTAATATATATTTTTATGCATTTTGTTATTGTAAATATTTACTAATAATCTTTATCTTCAATTTT